CTCCTCGCGATTGGCTACTTTTTCTCACTGGAAAGGTAAAAAAAACCTTTTGTTTACTGATTATATTTATTTTTTTATGATTTTTGAATTATTAGCAAATACATATCGAATATCTGACGAATAATTCGAAATCAAAGTTGCAGAATAATGTTAATCGAATATTCACGAATTTTTTCCGAACATCAATATAAATAAACGAAGCGAATTCGAATTTGTATTACTATTCGAATACGAACACGAATAGCACCATATAAACCGAACTCGAATTTGAACTTGCACTATTCCTTCAAATTCGATTTGATTCCACCCTTACTCACAAATACAACTAGTAATTATTATTTTTGGTGATAGGTACAACTAGTAAGTTCTATTTGCTTATGAACCAAATAAAAAGTTATTTATTTATTACTAAATGTATTGCTCAATCAAATATAACTGAACAATTAGACCAACAATTAATGAGTATTTCTTAATTTATTTAAGGAAAATGATTTAAGGACCTAAAATATGGGATCAAGGGAGGGGACAAGTGATGTGTCCCCTCCCTATTGCATAATGAGTTGGTCAACTCATTATGCAATAGGGAGGGGACACATCACCTGTCCCTTCCCTTGGTCCCATATTTTGGGTCCCCGTAGCAGCACTCTTTATTTAATTCATTTCCTCCCCAATCCTAAGTATATTCCACAACAATGAAAAAAAGTCTTTGGCGGTATCAAAGTGGTGATATGGAAATCCTTTGAGGTACCAAAAATTAAAATGGGTCTTTTTCTTTAAAAGTTAATGCAACCTAGTCCTAAAATATTTATCAAAATAAACCTAGTTTCTATCATGAAACTAAAGTCGGTTTCGATAAATGTTTTGGGAACTAGGCCAATTTTAAAAAAAAATTCGTAAACTATCGAATTGAGAATTTCGAGGAATTTAACACACAATTTAAGTTTACGGGATTGTTTCTAAAAATGTCTATTTCAAAAATTTGTCCGAAAGGAAGCACGCCACGCCTCCGTTATCTGCCTTTTGGTGCTTACATCTCAACCGTCTAATATAATCCAACGGTTCCTATCTCCTACAGAGACGTCTACACTTTTCTCTCCAGCCCCAAACCCTCGTATAAATTTCAACCCTGAGCTTTTTAACGTCGAGAGAAATCAACAAAAATCGAGAGAGAAAAAGATAGAGATGGCTACGGAGAACGAGCGCCATGATATACCTGAGAACGCCAACGAGCGTATGCTTCTCACCTGAAAATTTTCATTTTTTAGTTATAATTTTAGTAGAAGATTGCTAACTCCTTTTCTTTTATTTTGGGTGGTAATCTAGATTGTCCGGGGCCAGAATCGGAGTCAGCGGGCAAATCCGATGCATGTGAAGGATGCCCAAATCAACAAATTTGTTCTTCTGCTCCTAAAGGCCCTGATCCTGGTACTCATTTACTTATTTATTTGCAAAGTTCTCATTTTTTTAATTAATTGTGCTGATAACCGCTGATGATGGATCCATCAGTTCATTATGAACTGGGATATAGCAGCTCAGCTGTGTATCTTTGTTGGGTTTTTGCTAGAATTCTTTAATCAGTAATCAAATAGTAGGTGATGGTAATTAGATTCTTTTTGTAGTTGTCAAATAAGTTGTTGAAATTAAGTTGAAGATAATTTGATCACTTGTTATGTGTATCAAGCGAGTATCAAGCGTCCATTTCTGAACCGTCCAGTTTTTGCAAGTGGAAGGTTGAAGGATTTAGGCAGAATGGGTCTTATCGTTTTTCTTTCTCCAACGAGTCTGCAAAATTTATGGTATCAATCAATACATGGGTCTAATTTAGTTAAAGAGAATGAGACTTTTCCTTTTAAGGAAGGTGATTACTGTGCAGCTATGTTTGGCCTGCCTCTCCAGAGGCTGCTTTTCCAATCATATACAATGATAATATGCTCAAGGATGGAGATGAATATATTGGAGTGGCAGAAGAATTGGTGTGAATACGATGATTGGTTTCTTATATTGAGGTTTGGTTTAGTATAAAAATGAAAAAAGTAATTGGTGGAGGTTCACATATAGATTTAGTTGATGGGATTATCAACTTGACGGATTTGAGAGAACTGATTAGTAAATTTAATTAGAATTTACGACTAGTGAGCGGGGATTACAAAATCAAGTTGCAGTGAAAAAAGGTCAGAATCAATCCTGATATTGTTAGATGATGAAACCTACAAGCTGTGAAGATAATTTAACAATAAAAGAGTTGGGCTATGAAGCACGGACACACATAACATAAAGACGTGTCGTGTCGTGTCCGTGTCGGACACACGTGTCGAACATACGTATCCTATGTATTTTTTAGGATTTGTCTCGTGTCGGCGTGTCGGATGGCCGTGTCGGATCCGTGTCCGTGCTACATAGGAGTTGGGCAGTGCAGAAAGTCAGGAAGTTCTGTAAGTGAAAGAATTTCATTTAAAAACAAATTATAGAATAACCAATTATGAATGTGCTCGTTTTGCAATTTGCAATGCATTGATTTTTAGTAAATCATTACTTTTAAGTTTTAACTGACCCTAGAAAGGTTATTGTATCTGGAGTTTCTAATGTACGTGCTTGTATAGAAATGCATTCCATCTCCTGATCTGAGTTCTACTTCAGCGCTGCAATCAAGCGTAAGACTCGTCAATGTATTAATATTACTAACCAAAGTAAATGCAGTCAATAAATAATGAAATCAATAAGAGTCATGTTTGTCTGCAAGCAGTTCAATATAGGACCTTTTTCTTCTTGTATTGCACTTGCAGATTTTCCAGACTAGGCTATTGCTGATTCTTTATCCAGTACACATCGACATTTCCTACTCTGCATCTCTTCTTTATAGACCTGTATAACTCTCCTATTACTAGACACCATAGTTTTTCTGTTCTAAGTCTATAGATGATGCTTGCTTCAGATGCCACCACTTGTACGTCTCCACCAGTAAATGCACTTAAAAAGGATTTAGCTTCTGTAAGGACTGATTCATATGATTTGAGAATGCCTTCTGTTTTGTATTATATTCTTACGTGTGTTCTTCGACAAGTAGTCAGCTTCAGTCTTTGTGCAGTACTCTTTGATTTTGGTTTCCACTGTGTACCCATCTACATTTGATAATAACTTGAATCCATTCAGAGAGGCAAAACTACCAAAACATATTGTTACATCTGTAGATGGGTGGTTGATTTCTATTACATTGCTAGTTCATGATATTAAGTGAGAGAATCATCACCAATTGGTTTAGGAATATCCAAGTGTGCATCACATTACTAATATGTGCATGAATCAATGACACTTTGGACAAGGAGCTGCTACAGAAACAGAATAATATAAACTCCAATTTCTTCATAATATTGACATTAGCCCATCATCATATTGATGTCAACAGAAGGGTGTCTTTATTGACCTTTCCACCACTCTCTTGGATCTATTTTCAGTTTTTTAAGGTTGACCAATGATAGCAGAAAAAGTATAGTGGGTTATAAGTCAAACAAGTTGTACGAGTATCTGTTGCAACATGCAGAATCTGTGATAAGTTTGATTGACTAGTCAAGCTTGACTGAGTTTGCTTGAGTCAGGGAGAGGTTGTTTGTATCACTGTTCTTTAGTTTAATTGACCAAGTTGAAATGCTGAAATACATGCTTTACTTCAGGAGTTCAAATTTTCATACATTCTGAAGAATCTGAACTAGTCGGAAGTTGTATTATATACTCTTGCAGCTTGATTCCTTCTCATATATTGAAAATAGCAGGGAGCTAACACTATTATTACGGGAAAGGCTTTAAGTGATGGGAAAAATCAACTTTTCAGATTTTCGCAAAATTGAAAAAGTGTTTACCCCTTGATTCATGATTAAGAACACATTGGAATCGTTTGAAATTTGGTTTCTTGGTGCATGTATATTACATCCATTCAGTGTACAAATTTGCAATTTTGAATTCCAAATTGTGAAGCTGGTTTTGTAGTATAATCTCCAATACTATTGATAGCAGTCCAGTTTAACTCATGAATCCCCATCTCCCATTTTCTGTTAGTTTCTTGTTTTTCTTTTCCCTTGTTCTTTATAGGCAGGTGAGTATGAGCATCAGTCATATATATTGATTAGCTAAAAGAAAAAAAAATTCAGTCATACTTATTTACACAAATCATCAGCATATTGCAAAAAGATGCAACATGCAACACTGTACGATATCAATAAACAATCTGATCTTTCTGTGTAGATTTGGTTGCTATAGCGGAAAGAATGGCTACTGTCAAACACAAGATCGCCATTCTATCTGGCAAGGGAGGAGTAGGAAAGAGCACTTTCTCCGCTCAGCTCTCCTTCGCCTTATCTTCCATGAATTACCAAGTCGGCCTCCTTGACATTGATCTTTGTGGGCCCAGCATCCCCAAGATGCTCGGCCTTGAAGGCCAAGACATCCACCAGAGCAACCTCGGGTGGTCTCCCATTTACCTCGACTCCAACCTCGGCGTCATGTCCATCGGCTTTATGCTCCCCAACCCTGATGATGCTGTCATCTGGCGGGGCCCTCGCAAGAATGCATTAATCAAACAGTTCCTGAAGGACGTCGACTGGGGAGAGACTGACTACCTTGTAATCGACACTCCCCCAGGGACATCCGATGAGCATATTTCAGCTGTTCAATATCTTCAATCCACTGGAATTGACGGTGCGATCATTGTCACAACTCCACAACAAGTCTCCTTAATCGATGTACGAAAGGAGATAAGTTTCTGTAAGACAGTTGGGTTAAAGGTATTGGGCGTGGTAGAAAACATGAGTGGGCTGAGGCAGTCTCTTTCGGATTTAAGGTTTGAAAAAGTCAGCGATGATGGAAAACCTAGTGATATTACTGAATGGGCATTGAGCTATATAAAGGAAAAAGCGCCAGAGCTTCTCTCTGTGGTTGCGTGCAGTGAAGTTTTCGATAGTAGTAAGGGTGGAGCAGAGAAGATGTGTGAAGAGATGGGGGTGCCATTTTTGGGGAAAGTGCCGATGGACCCGGAGCTTTGTAAGGCCGCCGATGAGGGGAGATCTTGCTTTTTGGAGAAGGGTTTTGCTGGCAGTGCTGCGCCGGCTCTGAAGAGAATCATCGAGAAGATTGTAGTTGAGTAAGAAAGAGATTCTGGAATATGTGCATATTTGGATGTTTGATTGATGCATGGTGTGATTTATCTTGCAGTTCTGATTTGAGTTTTTGTTTAGCATTCAGTTATTGCATGATGTACCATGGTTTTTTTAGCATTCAGCAACTGTACGATGTACTTTGGATATTACTTTGAGAAAGATTACACACACAGGATCATCAGTGTTATTGTTTTTTTTTGCCGCTAGACCTCTACATCTGGATTTGGATGATGTTTGTGGGGAATATTTGATGCATGATGCGCATTTTCTTTTATTTTCCACTGGTTTTTGTTCGACATTTGCTCCTTGTATTATGCATTTAGGTTTATTGCTTGAATTGTACACACAGGTTTTCTTTAGGTGTGACGTTTAGTATCTGTTTTTCGTTACTGATGAAGGATAGAGTAAGAGAATCAAAATTTTTGTGGTTTGAGCTGTAAACCGTGGAAATATATAGTCCATGGTGCAGAAAATTTAAATAAAATCATAGGTAGAACCTGCAAGGGGAAAGATCCAATGTACTTCTTGTACGCATTCCCTTGTTCTGGAGGAAGGAAAAAAAAAAAAAAAGCCAGAAATACTCCAAGTCACGACAGACATTTTCAAAATTAAAAAAAGGGGTTAATCTTAGAAATCAATCCTGAACTTTGGGGTTTTACGGATCGCCCTCTTAGCAGGCCCTCCTCCGCCCACAAAGGAGCAACGTCAAGTCCAAGCATACGAGGGGCTAGGTTTTGGATAATTGCCTGTAGGTATATGAAGTAAGAAACTTCCTAATCAATTTAGACCATCTGAAAGATTAGAAAAGACTGTAAAATGTTGGATTAATTGCGAATAGACACCTAATAGTATCACCAAATTGAAAAAAGCCCCTGCGAAGTTCTATTCGTGCGAATAGGCTCTCTATAGTACTGGCTCCAAGTGCGAAAACAACCCGTCGGTAAACTTTTTCTACCCTTAAAAAGGCAATTGAAGATCTACCCTCACGAATAGAACTATGGGGTGTTTATTCGTCTCCTCAAGATTTTTTTAGTGATTTTAAGAGTGAAAAATATCACTTAGGGGATCTATTCACTCTAAGAAGTAAGGGGGTCCGTTTTCAATTGGGTCATAAAGGGGGTCTAGTCGCAATTAATCTAAAATGTTTTACATATTGTATTTGACTTTAGTTATGTTCTTCGCCAAAACCAATTAAAAAGAACAGGAAAATAAAAATAGAAATAAAGCTACAAATCAGTATTATTCAATTAGCTAGATTCCAAAGAGATCAGGTTTCACAGCATACAGGCTTTCTTTTTTTGGAGGGGAGCATTGGCGGACATAAACTTCTTATAATAGTCGAAGGAAAAGGAATTAAATTATGGGCAAGATGCTTTTTGCTCCCACCGCAGATGGAAAATTTTGTCGGTTGGTCTGCAGGGGAGACATATGTCCACTTCTATCTGTTGGTCAGGGGTTGTTTGGTATTTACCACCAATTCTGATTGATCTTACAGTAATTTGGATCCATTACACAAAGAACATTTTGTCATTTTGATGAGTAGCCATCGTATATACACAATTCATTCTTCCTTTCTTATGAGAACTTCTTCTTTTTATATTTTTAAAAGCAAACTTCTCAAGTTTCCTACAAATAATCTATGCAAACAACTACTTTCAAGGGGTCCCAAAAAAAAAGAAGAAGAAGAAAGAAAAAGAAAAAGAAGAAAAAGAAGAACAAGAAGAGCATCATATGTTAGGGGCTGTTTGTTTCCTTTTTTTTGAGAGGAAAAGGTGAAGAAAGCCTGCCAAAAGTGTAGCTTTTGGCAGGCTTTCCACCCAAATCGCCTCTAAAAGAGGCGATTTGGGTGGAAAGCCTGTCAAAAGCTGCACTTTTGGCAGGCTTTTGGCAGGCTTTCTCTACCTTTCCCTCTCAAAAAAAGGAAACAAACAGCCCCTTATTGGTCCATGTAAGAGACCGTAGGCCTTCGATCTATAATAGTTGACGATTTTTAGTTACCTTGTAGGACTTCAAATTCTTTACATGCTTGATTGTACGGACAATTCTAAAAATGTGTTATCTGCACCGATAACATCTTATTTTTCTATGAATCCAACAAAACATTACATAATCTATGCAAACAAATCGCTCATGAAAGTATATAGAAACAAGGAATATCGTTAGATCCGGATCCTCTCCAATTAATTGGTAATTGGAGAGGATTCAATTCTCTCAATACTAACTGTTCACATTACTTTCAATGGATGAAATTAAAGTCATGTGAGGTTTCCATTGCTATCTTGAAAACCACTTTGGTCTTAAAAATCACTAGCATGAAAATAGTATAGTCAAAACCACTAGTGGGAATCTTACGTGACATGATGTCATTCATTGGAATTGAGGTGGGCGGTTAGGATTGGGAGAATTTGACACAATCCAATTACCACCTAATCGGAGAGGATATGATTCCAATATTATTCGTTCATATAAGAGATTATGATTAATTCAGTGGGAAAATGATATAGATGATTTCTAGCCACTTGTCAAGGTAACCTCATATCAAGCTGATTTGTGTCGATGACTCAACTTGTGGAGATATGTTAGACATATGACTTATAACCTTATTCTTTACTAGAACTTTGAAAATTTGGCATTCTCACGAGGGTTTTCCTCCCTAAAATAAAAGTAAGATCATTATACAAAAACTATCTTTCGTTTTCAATTTATACGTAAATAATCTTTAAATTGAGTTTTTGATCCGATCATCTACACCGTAGTCAAGTTTTTACTATAGAATAAAAGGCTGCTTAAAATATGCATGTTTAAGGTACGTGACTTTGTATCTTAACTAGATCCAAATATTAACAAAAATAAGTCACGTATCTTGAATCACAGTTTTTTAAGAGTATTTTTAGGTGTTCAGTAAAAAGGTTGACTAGGTGGCCCTTGATTGGAATGAAATGTTGGTACTCCCCAAATCTTATTGTTGGGAATGAATGCTAGTGTTGAGTAGAGAAGTGTGAAAGAATAGTCAACATTGGAGAATCCAAAAGAGAGAGTTTGAAGGTGATGCATGGAAAGATAGAATGGTGCATTGGTAAGTGCTCATGACATTTATGAGAAAGCTTAACGAGCTTCACTTTGGAGGCTATAAAGAGGTGTGTGTATGTGTTGAGATGTGTCACCATTCTTTAGACTCTTAAGTGAGTGTGTTCTCGGGTTGATGGGTGGTGTGAGGTGAGCAAGGGTTTACAAGTTTGTTTCATATAAAAATTGTACTAGTTTGTGATTTGTGAAGTACAATTGAAATGGAGGTAGTCGTGTTCATCGAACCACCCAAAAGTATCGTTTGTGTTATTTTGTTGCTTGCTCTCTCTTATTGTGCGAGGTAGTCGTGTTTGTCGAACCACCCAAAAGTATCGTTTGTGTTATTTTGTTGCTTGCTCTCTCTTATTGTGCGAGGTGTGCTCCAATAATTCTCAAACCAAAAATCTATTTTAAAGGTGATTTATGTATAAATTAAAAATGAAAGATGATTTCTGTATAATGACTTTGTTTTTAAGGCTAAAATACGATATTGGTATTATTTTGTTCAACCATTTTGACACTTTTGATTTTTTATTACTTTGACTTTGTTTTTAAGGCTAAAATACGATATTGGTATTATTTTGTTCAACCATTTTGACACTTTTGATTTTTTATTACTCTTGCATTAGTTTGATATTATTACTTGGCCCAGTAGTCAAGTAGGCCCAAAAGTTGGACACGGGTCAGAGAAAATTTAAAATTAGTCCAAATCTTCACTATTTTGATGTTAGTCTCCAAATCATTGAAATTTGAAAGTAGTTTATCTATTTAACTTGATTATAAACCCAAATCCATTTAAAACTATTATCATCTTCATTTCATCCTCTTACAAATCCCTTGCTCATTCAACTCAATTACAAAGATATTTCAAATTAACTCTCATCTTCTCCATTTCACCCCCTTACAAACGCCTTACCCTTTTAACTCAATTACAAATCCAAATCTATTTTATACTATCATATTCTCTATTTCATCCACTTACAAACAACTTACCCATTCATTTAACTCAATTATAAACACAAACCTATTTTTAACTCTCATCTTCTCCATTTCATTACCTTACAAGCCCCTTACCAGTTACCTTACAAGCCCCTTACTAGTTTAACTCAATTAAAAATATGAACAAACTCATTTTAAACTCTCTTCTTCTCCATTTCATCCCCTTAAAATATCGTTACTCATTTAACTCAATTACAAACCCATAGTCATTTCAAAATCTCATCTTCATCATTTCAACCCTTTACAAATTTCTTACTCAATTTAACTCGATTACAACCCAAATCTTTTTCAAACTCTCATCTTCTCCATTTTATCTGCTTACAAACCCCTTAATCATTTAACTCAATTACAAATTCAACCCCCTTAACTCAAGCTGGAGTGTATTAACGGGTAGGAGATTCTCAATATTAGCCCCTCAAATCTAGGGCAATGGGTTTGAAAGAGGATGAAATAGATGAGAGTTTGAAATGTGTTTGAGTTTGTAATTAAGCTAAATAGGTAAACCAATTTCAAATTTTAATGATTTGCGGGACTAATATCGAAATAATAAAGATTTGAGAGATTAATTTTCAATTTTTTTTGATAAATGACCAAGTTTTGGGCCTATTTAATCAATAGGGTAAAAAAAAGGGAAAAATATGTCGGAACCCCAAAAGTAGGAACTTCATGTGCTGCAGCCCATTCATTCCCCCCATGTGGTTCAGCCCCTTAAAATATGACATCTTGTGTTTCAGCCTTCTTTTAGCAATTATTACATGCAAGCTAAGGTAAAATTCCCAACATGTCCTTGTCCCCTCTTCTCAATCCCTTAAACCCAGCGCTCTTATCTGCTCTCTGTCTCATCTCTCTCTCTCTCTCTCTTTCTCTCTCTCTATCTCTCTCTCTCTCTCTCTCTCTCTCTCTCATCTCCTCTCTCATCTCTCTCAAGAAGCCCCGCTCCCGCCCGCGACTACGCCCTTCACTACGACATCGGGCTCCAGATCTGTGCCCTAGCTCGCGAGTTCGGCCCTCGAGTTCGTCGCTGCCTCCCCTCCTCTCCTTCGCCCGACCTCGTCGCCGCTCCCCGCCTCGCCCTCGACTACGCCGGAGTTTGCCACTGCCGCTCTCCGCCTCGCCCTCGAGTTTGTCGCCTCCTCCTCCCCG